ATAATAATAATGCTGCGTCACTTGCAATTTGAAAAATTGGGCTTGCAGGCAATAATGACAATAATAAGAATAACGATGCCCACCACGCCGGCAATCATAAGCGTCAATTTGAGGTTCTTCAGACACATGTTCCGCTTCAACTGCGTCGAACGCTGCTTAAATTGTTCTGCCTGGTCCGCTAGCGTGTTTGACTTCTCGTGCAAAGTGTCAATGCGGTCACCGCGGGCAAGCACCTTATCCATGTTATCCATCATGACGTCTACTACTTGGTTGATGTCGTCATTCAGCGCCGTAATCTTATCGTTCTGAGGGTTGTTGTAGAAATCCATCTTCTGCTGCAGGAGCTTCTTGCCGTTGCGGAGCTCCGTACCGGGTGGGCCCACGTTCCCGCGCACAAGTGGCTCAACAGCCTCAAGAAACGCAAACACCGTTCGCATGCGCATCTCATTCGTCGTCACGCACGCCACGATGCGACCCTCGCCGTTGCTGATGTAATGGTAGTTCACCCCACCCTCCTTATCCTCAATCGTCTTACGACGGTACTCCTTGCCAGGAACTGTCGCAATCACCTTCTGCATCGTCTCCGCCAGCTTCGGCTGCTCGCCAGGCGGGAACTCGGCCAGCAGGACGGTGCCATCGTTGATGCAACTATATTTGATTGGCATCCGTCGCACAGTATGAAGAGAAAAAACAAGCAAAAACTACCTTGATGGTCCAGACATGCACACATAGAAACAAGCGAAAGAGAGCAGCAACAAGAACCCCCCCCCCAAAAAAAAAGGAAAAAAGAAAATAGTAAGAGACAGAGGTGACATTGTACGCAACGGGAACACACAAACACGCAGACATGCCGACAGTACAAAAAAAAAATCTTTTTGGTGCCTCTACCACCGCCCACTTCCACCTTCCCTTATTCGTGTTTAAGATGCACTGATACAAAGAAGGGGCTGTCAGGTGCGTGATTCCCTCCACCGGTTTCTTTCAGAGTGAAAGAACACCTTACTTTCCCAGCAACACACAAAATAAAGGTGCGTTCCACCTACTCTTTCAGCCCCTCCCTCGCACGCTGTAAAGGTGCCGGCGCTTGTGTGTCCAAGAACGTATACTACAAGTACGTCTGTAGCATCTGTCGCCCCTTTATAGTGTGCTCGTTGTTGTTGCCAAGAGCCTCAATTATGCCAAAAATTACTTGTCGCGCTGGCGTCTTGGCATTTGAACCCAGCACAAGTTCTTCTGGCACCACCCCTGCTGCCTTTAGTGCGGGCAGTAACTTTGGCTCAGCACGAACGAGTCGCAGACATTCCTCAATACCCTTGTGGTGACGTTTTTCCACAAAATGTGCCACAGCCAGCTTGAGATGCTGGTGGTATAACGCGCCAGGGTCGTGTGTGAGGTCGTCGTACGTAAGCAGCGAGATGTAATTCTCCTCTTTGCACGTTAAAATCAGCAATAATCAGTAACTCGATGCAAACCACCGCCTCTGCCACATCACGTAGATCCTGTGTCGCAAAAGGAAACCTCTGACATACCTGGTGGACGATGCGCCGCGCCTCTGCGATGTCACTTGAAACCATGGCACACATGGCAAGGCCACAAAGTGCCTGGGGACTAACGTTATAGCACCCCTCACAATTCAGATGTTCCCACCTCTCTTTTGTAACCTTATTTTCCTTTGAAAACCCTAGCAGCTCACGGGCGGTCTGCGTCTCTGTCATGACCATGTCATACGCCTTCTTAAAGAGTTCGCGAGCCTTGGTAATTTCCTTATTTTTCAATCGGGTGTGGGCGGCGTTTAACAGCGTCATGGCGTTCTCGTCGTCCCCGTCGCTGAGCCTTACTCGCCGAAAAACGAACGTGCCACTCATCTCATTTTTGCTCTCTTCTACGGCGTAGTCGATAAACGCGTCAATCACCTCCTTTTACCTGTGACTAGGGAACGATTCCCACAATCTTGTCGGCGTACACCTTGTTGCGAACAAAGTACACAATGGGGAACATGTGCGGGTCGACGCTAAACTTTTCCGTCAGCCCACTTCCCTAAGGCAGTCGACGAGACCCAACTTTACAGCACGGCTCTGATCTTTGCCAAACTCCTGGTATTTGTCGGCAACGTCACTGCCTTGCAAACGGCGATTCGCCGCATCAACTTGCACGCTGAGCCGCTCGGTATACGCTGCAACCTCTACATTGTTTGGCACGTGAAAATAAAAGAAATAATGGCACCTTTGACGACATCTCTTCGTTTATGTTTCGTGCTGTGAAGTGGAGGACCTCTAACCGTGCCGGGGGGCTGGTGGCGGTGGTGCTGCCGCCCCTGCTTCGAAGTGGCGAACCTGAGCGAACAAAACGTCCATAGGCCCCATGTGAGCACGCCACACGCGGTGCATTGGCTGTTACTGCCACCGTTACGGTTCTATCCGATTCTCGGCGCAGCAACTACCCCAGTACGTGAAAGACAAAGAGGAAGAAAATTTGTTTATGCGAGTTGGTGAGAGAAAGGAGTGCACTACGACACATACGTAAATATTTGGATTTTACTCGTCCAACTTTTTTTTCTTCTCAGCATTTCTGTGTGAGTGCGTATGTGAGTGCTCCTCCCCATCCTCCTCTGAAATACATCCTACAGGAAGAAACGATCATCTATGAGAGTCTTTGAACTAATGTTCGCCACGCCTTCGTTCATGCGGTACCAACGTACGACAACCTCCACCGCAAACGTGATGACAAGCGCCATCCATACATTATGCATAAAGGCATCAAAGGAGGCGTACATAAGCGTGTACCAGACAAACAAGTCTATATCGAGACCGTACAAAAATGCATTACCGTAAGCAAGTGCATCATCCACAAAGAAAAGGTCCTTACCCGATCTGTCTCCAGACTGCGGGCCATTCATGTATAATATATTGGGTGTGACGCCAAACAAGCGATGAAGAATAAACTTCATGAGCAATGTCCCCTCAGCACTTTGAACACTCTGCTGCAGTACGGTGTTGATGCGTTTTTTTACCGCCAATGTCTCGCTGTCATACACACGTGACTTACGGGAAAACCCAAGGACGCATTCCAAGAAGTGCCACCTACGCCCTGGTCGGACCGGGGTGAATCCTTTCCCTAGTGATCGCTGGTGTTCTGCCTCAATTTCCGCGTAACACATGTAGAGGTACTGCCGCATGTATATACCCATAAAAACCTCAAATGTTTGGCATTTATTCTGTCCGCCAAGACCACGCACTGGCAGGTTGCCTTGCGACTCAAGATACAAATTCCGCTGAAACTCCTCCATACTTACATCGGAGTGAGCATGAATGGACTCGCCGTGGATGTAATACCCCCACTGGGTCTCGGGCAGAATCAAAATGGAGATGTTAGACACAGAGCACAGGTCCACAAACGCCCGCAGTGGATGTACGCGGAAAAAGCGGTAGTAAATCTGAAACTCAAGAATGTTAAGCGCGAGACACACAAAAACCCAAAAGAACATGCCCACCGCTATTCGCAGTGAGGTGAGGGAGTGGAGCCCCACCTCCTCTGCCTCTGACACCGCGGGAAGACTCTCAGTGTACCGCAAGAAGTCCAGTTCCTCAAGGAAAAACAAGACAATCGACATACTGAGCAGAGGACGCCACTGGCGAAGGCCCTGAAGTTCATTCAATTCATTCGAAACAAACGTCGAACGCCACATGCTGACAGGCAAAATGCGATTTTCGCGTAATAGTTGCCCTTTACTTCGCTCCCAGTCAATGACAAAGTAGTCCGCATTACATTGCTCCACAATACGATAGACGACAGCAATACCTTTCGTCACAGTGGCTGTGAACAACATGGCCTCTAGGTACACGTGCCGCTCATTTACAACAACGCCCAGCTTGTTCTCCTGAGCTCTATACATAACAAGTATGTACCACGATGCCAGCGCCACAGCGAGGGCAAACATGTTCCCAATATGATCACAAAAATACGCCAAAAACCGAATGCAAGCACCGATGCTAAGCATCATGTTCTGTCGACGCCGCATCCACCCATACGTGCGTATCCAGGCCGATAAAAAACACAACACAGACAGTACAATCATCGTAATCATCATCCCCATATCCACAGTGCTTTTCTCTGTAAAGAAGAGCACAGATACACCTCCCTTTACCAAAACCTTTGTGGCGGTCCCCACCAAGAGCGTATCATTATGTCTCAGACCAGATGCATAGTGAAAAATGATGATTGGTTTCAAAGGCCGATGATGCATCAAAAAATCAGTCATGTTAAAAACAAACACCACATACCGCAGTGCTGTGACGTAACAAGACACTTTAACAGGTGCTTGCTGGAGACCGACCTTGCAATCGGTAAACGTATCATGGACGTAAAATCGTCGTCGGTAACCACCTGTCATAGCCTGTTGTGGCAGTTCCTCGTGAAAGCTCCAGGGGTGAATGTCGTTATTGGTGTAATCCATCACCACAGAAAGTGGTACAAGGTGTGACATATTGGTGGGATCAACCATAAAGAGCTCGAAAAAATCTGTAGGACCGGCATTCCTTAAAAGCACATCCCAATCAAGAACACACTGATGCCCGCGGTTGGAAACGAACTTAAACATGTCTGACATAGCTGTGTCCGAAATATGGCATGGATTGAACACCTTGGAGAATCTGAAAATTCCCTTTTTATTTCCACGCCAGTCGTACACCGCCACGAGTAGAGTTATTACCTCACCGACTCTAGTGGCCTTCAGCGTTGCCGCTGGGAAGCCACCATCGCCACCATCGTAATTGGTGTGGTTGCCGGTATTGTTATCGTAAACCAGTTTCGGTAGCTGGCGCCGCAAGTTGCGGTCGGCGACCAGCGAAAGATACAACTTACAAGGCAATGAATTCATGTCATACATCATCAACACACACATATTTGCCAAGAGATTGCAGCCCACCGCCCTTCCACACGCACACTGCACAGCACCCTCCGTGGCATACTCTCCCACCGCCACCGCCTTAAATGTTGGGCCCAAAATCCCGTCATTATTAATATTCACCGGTTGAAACATTGTTGTGGCACCCGCGGCTGCAGCCACCACATTTGCATACGTCTCTGCAGGAACACAGGATCCATCATGCAATATCGTGTATCCGCTTGCGCAGACACATTTTTCACTCTCCGCCAACGCGTGCGGCAATTCACACCTGGCGCAGCCGTTGGATCCATGTTGCACACACGTTGGAGACGCCAACCCTTGTGTGGACTCTTGGTCGACCGGTTCATAATCTGCCCGGCGAATGCGCTCCCCTGTCGTTTCATAGTATACAGGGTTCACAGCACCGGGTGGCATCCTCGTATCTCCACAATGCACACAGCACTGCAAGGGATTCGCATACAGGGCCATGCCAACAACTTTCTCTGTTCGGGTGCAATCCACACACCCCGCGGTTCCTGCGCTGTGGGGTTCCATCGGTGCAACTCTCTCCGAACAATTCATCCCCGCATCCACAACAGATTCGTCAGCAAAAACCATATTATGCTTACATGATGATTTCAAATGACACAATGTACACGTGTCGGTCCGTACAGAGTCATCAATTCCGGAGGCACAGTAAGTCACCGAGAGGAACAAAGCAGGTAACCAAATGCAAAGCAGCAACCATGAGAGGCGGGCAACGAGCGACCGGCCCATTGTGACACTAGAGAAACACTAACCCGCCCGAATCCAAAGAACAGCGGACCAGAGCGCCCACCCTTTCTCAGAGGCCGGAGTCCAGCACAACAAAAAACACCGTAAACAACAACAACGAGTAACTCAGTAGAAGCGAGTGCGGTAAACAGCCATAAACACATCCCGCGCAGCACAAGGGCTGCATATATCAAACACCAAAACACACACAAAAATTAATGGTAGAAGAATAAAAAAAAAAACGCACAAGAACATGTTTCTTGAGAACTACCGCTCAATCGAGCAAGTGGGCAAACAAGGAGGAAATCAATAAACACTCGGTCCACGCTGGCTGTCGAACACAACAAACGGTTGCTTCTCCTCAAAACAAACAATATAATATATATATATTATATGTATCAAATTGTTTGCGCCCATTTGAACATCTATTCCATTGTGTTAATTACAGAGTAACGGTCTCTTGGGCCTCTTTCCCTCCCTAACGGACCAAGACCCGCAAGGAGGCGAGTCCAGCAGAGATGGGGTTAAAATAAGAACCCATGAAACAAAAAAAAAAAAAACATTACCCGTTGCCCGAGGCCCACCTGCGACCTATTCCTGGCTCACCGAATTAAGGC